TGTCACGAAACAAATTTGTTGTGGAAGAATTCAATGAACCACATGTGTTATGTCAGCTTTCTCCTTGGTTAACAGTTACACTCTGGAATCCTTAACATTATATGGCCACTCTGATTTGTCCTAACATTGAAGGATATTCCACGTTATTTCTGACCTTAATTCGCTGTATATCTGTCACGAAACAAATTTGTTGTGGAAGAATTCAATGAACCACATGTGTTATGTCAGCTTTCTCCTTGGTTAACAGTTACACTCTGGAATCCTTAACATTATATGGCCACTCTGATTTGTCCTAACATTGAAGGATATTCCACGTTATTTCTGACCTTAATTCGCTGTATATCTGTCACGAAACAAATTTGTTGTGGAAGAATTCAATGAACCACATGTGTTATGTCAGCTTTCTCCTTGGTTAACAGTTACACTCTGGAATCCTTAACATTATATGGCCACTCTGATTTGTCCTAACATTGAAGGATATTCCACGTTATTTCTGACCTTAATTCGCTGTATATCTGTCACGAAACAAATTTGTTGTGGAAGAATTCAATGAACCACATGTGTTATGTCAGCTTTCTCCTTGGTTAACAGTTACACTCTGGAATCCTTAACATTATATGGCCACTCTGATTTGTCCTAACATTGAAGGATATTCCACGTTATTTCTGACCTTAATTCGCTGTATATCTGTCACGAAACAAATTTGTTGTGGAAGAATTCAATGAACCACATGTGTTATGTCAGCTTTCTCCTTGGTTAACAGTTACACTCTGGAATCCTTAACATTATATGGCCACTCTGATTTGTCCTAACATTGAAGGATATTCCACGTTATTTCTGACCTTAATTCGCTGTATATCTGTCACGAAACAAATTTGTTGTGGAAGAATTCAATGAACCACATGTGTTATGTCAGCTTTCTCCTTGGTTAACAGTTACACTCTGGAATCCTTAACATTATATGGCCACTCTGATTTGTCCTAACATTGAAGGATATTCCACGTTATTTCTGACCTTAATTCGCTGTATATCTGTCACGAAACAAATTTGTTGTGGAAGAATTCAATGAACCACATGTGTTATGTCAGCTTTCTCCTTGGTTAACAGTTACACTCTGGAATCCTTAACATTATATGGCCACTCTGATTTGTCCTAACATTGAAGGATATTCCACGTTATTTCTGACCTTAATTCGCTGTATATCTGTCACGAAACAAATTTGTTGTGGAAGAATTCAATGAACCACATGTGTTATGTCAGCTTTCTCCTTGGTTAACAGTTACACTCTGGAATCCTTAACTTCTTATGACCACTCTGATTTGTTTTAACATTGAAGGATATTCCACGCTATTTTTGAAGTTGATCCGTTGAATATCTGCCACGAAACAAATACGTTGTGGATGAATTCAATGAACCAGAATGTGTTGCGGCCAGCTTTCCCGTTAGGTAACAATTACGTTCTAGAATCCTTAACTTCTTATGACCACTCTGATTTGTCCTAACATTGACAGATATCCCACGTTATTTTAGAACTTAATCCGTTGAATATCTGTCACGAAACAAATACGTTGTGGAGGAATTCAATGAACCACAATGTGTCGCGATCAACTTTCTCGTTAGGTATCAATTACATTCTGGAATCCTTAACTTCTTATGAACACTCTAATTTGTCCTAACTTTGGCGTTATATTGACGGTATCTCACGTTATTTTTCAACTTAATCCGCTGAAAACATGTCACGAAACAAATATGTTGAGGATGAATTCAGTGAACTACAATGTGTTATGGTCAGCTTTCTCCTTGGGTAACAATTACACTCTGGAATACTTAACTTCTTATGGCCACTCTGATTTAATTTTAATCCTTTGAATATCTACCACGAAATAAATACGTTGTGGATGAGTTCAATGAACCACAATGTGATATGGTCAGCTTTCTCCTTGGGTAACGATTACACTGTGGAAAATCTTTAACTTTTCATGACCATCCTGTCATTTCCAGAGTTTTCACATTATTTTTGAACTTAATCCGCTGAGTATGTCCCGCGAAACAAATACGTTGCGGATGAAGAAGCACAATGAATTGTGGTCATCTTTCTCAGTAGATAATAATTACACTCTGAAATTTGACATTTCCGGATTTTCAACGTTGTTTGCCACGATACAAATATAATACGTTGTGGATGAATTCAAGCAAGCACAAGTGCTGCAGTCAATTTTTTCTTACTTTTGGTCTCCGATACTGAAATATCTACGAAGTAAAATTTATAATATATATGGAGAAATTTAAGTCCAATTAGTTGTGTTTCCGCCAGAAGTTTGACTTAAGTTGTTTGTGAGTTCGAGTTTGAATTTTATTATGTAAGCCGACGGTATGACAAAATTTATGCAGTTTGCGTCCAGTTGAGAGTCCTGCATCCATATACGCAACCGAGCTGTACAATTAATTCGAGTTGCAATCGATGCAGAATATCTAACTTTAATTGAATTTATTTGCGGACTTGGCCGACTACACGGCGATTTTTCATTGTGAAAGCAACTCTTCTGAAATAAAATTGTGTACATCATTGTGCTGTCGAATGTAAACGAAGCTTTAAGTCAGAATGCCAATTAATAGTGTATCGGAAAGAGTAATGTAGATCGCAGATAGCACAACTTTGTACATAAACAGAAGTCCCGCACGTGGAACATAACACAGGGTGCACTACTGAAATAGAAAAAAATCCATTCAACACCATAACCACCCATTTCGCCAGCAATCACTGTAATAAAAAAGGCATCCACAACTACTCCTTAAACATCTAACCATTTATCCATTTTCTAGTTTTCTATAAAACCGAAGATTCCTTTACCTCTAAAAATGTAAATGTACCTAACAACTAAGAAGTTTAGCTTATTTAATAATTAGTTTCACTCTTCTAAAAACTTTTTGATGTTTTCGAATGAAAAGTCTCAAAATTCACTTATGGGAATGACATGTGTAAGAAACATTGTAGTTCTTTTATTTCTTCGGCATTTTTGAGTAATGTAAATAGTTGTTTTAAGTCTGTCGATGGTAATACTAAATAGCTAGTAAGTCGTAAAGTACAGTTGGTGAAACTGCTGCCGGAATTCGCATTATTTATTGAAAAAGTCAGCGACGGACGCAATTAATACAAAGTACCGTTTCAAGCGGGACGCGTGTGCTCGGTTTTTGTTGAATAAAATCAACACGTTTCACTTGGTATAGTATTATATAGTGACAAGCGGTACTTGATAAACATCTAGAATTGTAAAGACTCATCCACAACTAGCTTTTACCAGAAAAAAAAGTTATATATATGCCTATATGATGCGTCCTTTCAAAGATTTACTTTTATTTATACAGGACTATAACAGCAGGTTATAAAATAACTGGAACTGCATCCTGTTTGAAAAATATTTCCAAAGACAGGGTGGTGACAACTGGCTATGGAAAAAACTGTATTTTTCACGACCGTTAGTTTGGTAGCTCTGGTATTTCATAAACTTCAGTTCATTTCCCGATTCTCCAATTATTTCCGCACTCAATCCAGTGGGTGCTGTCTCTTCCGTAATTCTTTGGAATTCGTAATATTTCCTGATCAACTTGAGCTGCTCTGGTATGACGTAAGTTTCCCGATTTTCCAGTTATTTCCACGCTCAATCCAGTGGGTGCTGTCTCTTTAGTAATTCTTTGGAACTTGTAATATTTCCTGATCAGTTTGATCTGCCCTGGTATTTCGAAAGTTTCCCGATTCTCCAGTTATTTTCGCACTCAATCCAGTAGGTGCTTTCCGTTTCGTAATTCTTGGGAATTCTAAATACTTCCAAATCACCTTCAGCTGCCCTGGTATTCCGTAAGTTTCCCGATTTTCTAGTTATTTTCGCGTTCAATCCAGTGGATTCTGTCTCTTTCGGAAATTTTTGAAATTCGTAACATTTCGTGGTCACCTTTAGCTGACCTGACATTTCGTATGTTTTCCTTAATTTTCCAATTTTCCAGATAATTCTCGCACTCAGTGGGTGCTGTCTTTTGCATAATCTTATGTTGGGCTTTATTCAATTTCCTTGTCATTATGTTGATAAATTTCCAGCTATGTTACTCTAATACACATTATCGAATTAATATAACTCCTGAATGTCGATAATACTTAGGGATGAGTTTTAAGGATTGTAACATAGATATAAGATTATTTTTCTAATGGGAAGGAAATGAAGATGCTTAGAAGAGATCAAATTGTATGATTTACCTCACCATCGTCGAAGCGGTGAAGCAGAAAATAAATAATTGTAACAAACTTCAAATAAGATAAACGAGTGACCAGAAAATTTTTTTGTTGTAGATTATTTTCTATAGTAATGACAGTAATTTGCAATTTCATTGCCGTGAAAGTGTTTCATCATGGGTGTATTTTTTTTTATTTACGTTACACATTCAGATAGTTTTTCAAATTCCAGAAGATCATTACCTTTTTTTGCTCGCTGATCTATCAGTTGTTCCTGCAACCTGAGCGTAACTATTTTAAGGTTTCATATTCTAGGCAATTACACACTGGTGGAGCATGAAATTTCTTGGACGTAAAACATCGCGTTTCTTCCAACAATTCAAAACATTATTATGTTACAAAAAAAAAATTTAAAAAAAAAACCTGAACGAACAGGTAGAAAAATGAACACACAATAGTTATAACACAATCTTAACATTCCTGCCGTTGATCGTTGAAGTTTTGATTTTGTGCACGAGGATGATTGTGACGTACCCCGATAGGACCACTGTGTGTGCGTCAATGTATGGAAATCGTATAAACGACGGGTGACAACGAAGTAGGAGGGATAAGAATTAAGATATTAGTGTTATTTAGGGAGCAACTAGGGTGTATAGCTAAGGGATGTTAGTATTATCCACGGTGTAGCAGTGTCTAGAACTCATTTCCTCATGAAAGTTTCTTGCTATGTTTGCTGCGCCAATACGAAAGATATTAATTTCTTTCTTTTCCCTAGGAAACCCCCGGTCGACGAAGTAGGAAATCCAACATCTGTTAATGCTCGGTAAGTAGAAATTCTTTGGCTTTGTTTAAAGATTTCGATGGCTGAATAGTCATACATCAAACCATTGTTTTACATTTTTCTAATTCTACATTTAGAATGATAAAAAGCCGTGGAAAAATATTTCCTGGTCCAGAGGCTGAATTTTCATTTTCATATCATTTCAATAACTATACTTAATAAATAATACCTACTAAAATCGAACCAAATTTACTTTGTGGTTCTTTCACCTATAGGAACTACTTATTTCATCATTCATTTAATGAAAAAGTATCCCAGAACCTTTCGTATCTTCACTGGCCGAATCCCTACTCCGGTACTGGGCTGTTTTTCGATACCAATCCTGCGCCCGGTCCCGATTTCTAACTCAAGCCCTCCTTACGGTTCTTAACAAGGCCGTAGCTAGAAATATTTTTCGAGAGGGGTTGGTTTTGTTCCAAAGTATGAAGTTTAAAGTTGATTTTTTGTATAATAAAATTGAAATTTACTATGCCAGGGATTGCATTAATAAAAACAAAAAAAAAATGAATAACNGAGTTATTGTTTTTATAAAAGATATTGTAAGTGTGCCCAAATTACAATTACTTGTAGCATTTCAACAAATTTTGTTTTGTGAAGGTCTTAAACCATTTTAACTCTTATTTGGAAATTTGAACTGGCCGTCAGGTTTAAAAGAAGAAAGTGTTTAATGAGGATGTGCAAATTTGACAAATGCAAGTCAGAGTCTAGTCTCCATGTAATTATTGTTGTGATTAAAGTGGGCGTATGACGAAGTGGGTGCTTGTTAGAGTTTTATTAATGGAATTTACAATTCGATGACCGCTCGAATACGAGACGGCAGTTAGTTAGTAAAGTGTTCCCGGTGTTCATATTTTTTAAATTTATAACTGAAATAATTCCAACGTTTCGAATTATTGCAGAAGAAGATCGGAGATCTTTTAAAATATGAATAAGGCGGAAAATTAGTGTTGGCTTTTTTTGCCGTTACTGATCTCCCTTTGAGAGGCAGAGCAGCAGTAGCAGCAGCAGAAGCAGCAGCACTCTTTGATCGTTTTTTCCGATAGGCAAGTCCGCACTGCGCTCCAACGAGTTCAATTATTTTTTTGTGATGGTAGAGAGTGGCCGGTGAATTTGAACCGTTACGGATAAGGTGTCTATCAGACATAATATGAAATGGATCGATGTACCACCACCACCACCACCACCACCACACCACTCCACATTAACGTATCGATCGGAGTCCATCGATTGGTAGCTGCTACATTTTCGAAGCTTTCGTAATGGTCACAAGCTTTCGTTTGCCTTTTTAAAAATTGTCACTTACAGAAAGGTGACGGATGCAGCTTTTCTTTTTTTTGATGAAAATTTGTTGGTTGGGTTGAGTCACTGAGCTCTGATCTATGGGCGCGATGGGATGTGTTCTTAGTTGAGGTCAGACGCTGGGCATTTGAGAAAAGCCGAGAGAACGAGCCGTCAGTCGGGTTTTTGTTTTGTCACAGCCATTATGCAGGCATCAATACTTGTTCGGGCTTTTTCTGTTCGAACGTAGTGCATCGACTAATGAGGGTGGTAAATAAAACAACAAGTTTATAAATGATCTCCCAGTCGATTAGCCCAAGTCTATCAACCTTAAATCGAAACCTGTTATGAAATTACCGGCATGATTGCTGCGCTAGAACTGGCAGATAATTTGCTGCAAGCTCTTGCTTGTCAGACCACAACTACCATCAATACCTACACCGCCATACAACAGCCGCATCACATCACATCACATCACCCGTCGCGCCTTTCTACTCTCCTCAATCAATCCAGAATATTCCACTATTTTATAAAATCATGCACTGTTCCTTCACAATCGCTCAATAATAATTAATAATTAATTCAAGATACCGTGTAGAATATGGTTCTTTACTAACTCAGATTTCACTGGGATCCGTCAAGATTTAAATGTATAATCATCGTTACGGTTTTCATAAGAAAATTCAGTCGATGTGTCAGTTAGAGTTTTGTGGGGTTCCGACAAAACCTCAAAATATTTGACTGTATAAACTCCATACACATCAAAACTAATAGTGAGTTCACTGGATGTAAAATTTTGCAAAGACCTGCAAGTAGGTGCCAATGATAGGGTTCCTTATAAGATAAGATTCCTTTAAGTTCCCCTACAATTTAAAAATATTTGTCTTTACAAGCATCCATCACCTCAAAATTAATGAACAAATTTGAATGCGGTTTTCACCACAAAATTCAGTGAACATCTGAGAGTTAACAGGGTTCCTTATATTATTTCAGACTTTGTTGAGTTCATTGGCAATTCTCCCAGGGGTTCCTTATTAGTTAAGATTCCCTTGATTTCCTTCAAAATTCAAAATTCTTTGTCTTTATAGGCATTTTACCCTGAAAATCATTGGACGAATTTGGATGCGGTTTTCACTACAAAATTCAATGAGCATCTAAGAGTATAACAGGATTCCTTATTATTTCAGGCATCGTTTAGTTCATCGGCCATTCTCCCGAGGGTTCCTTATAAGTTAAGATTTCCCTGAGTTCCCTCAAAATTCAAAAATCTCTGTCTTTATGCATATATTTCACTATAAAATTCAGTGAGCATCTATGAGTATAACAGGATTCCTTATTATTTCAAGCTTCTTTGAGTTCATCGGCCGTTCTCCCGAGGGTTCCTTATAAGTTAAGATTCCCCTGAGTCCCTTCAAAATTCAAAAATCTTTGCTTTTATAGGCATTTTCACCTGAAAATCATTGGACGAATTTGGATGCGGTTTTCACTACAAAATTCAATGAGCATCTATGAGTATAACAGGATTCCTTATTATTTCAGGCTTCGTTGAGTTCATCGGCCGTTCTCCCGAGGGTCCCTTATAAGTTAAAATTCCCCTGAGTTCCCTCAAAATTCAAAAATCTTTGTCTTTATAGGCAACTTTCACTTGAAAATTATTGGACAAATTTGGATGCGGTTTTCACCACAAAATTCAGTGCCCATCTAAGAGTACCTATAACAGGATTCCTTATTACTTCACGCTTCGTTGAGTTCATCGGCCATTCTCCCAAGGGTTCTTTATAAGTTAAGATTCCTCTGAATTCCCTTATAGGCAACTTTCATCTGAAAATTAATGGACGAATTTGGATGCCGTTTTCACTACAATATTCAGTGGGCATCGAAGAATATAACAAGGGGTTCTTTTTTAGTTAGTTTTTTTTTTGAGTTCACAGTAGGTACAGTGTACATTCTTCATGTCAAAAAAGTTTGTGTCAGTATCATTCACGTTAAAATTAACTGACAAATTTAAATACAGGTTTCAGCAAATACAGAAATTTGGATGTAGTAACAATAGGGTTCCTTATCAATTAATTAATAATAATAATAGTTCTTTCTACCTGAGCCAAAGGTGCTTTTTATACACATATTATGATTTATACGTGTGGAAATGTTAATTTCAGTTATATATATATATATATATGAATGGACCGTCGTGGTATTGTTTAGAATCACCTGTTCTTAGAGAATTATCCAGTGGTTGGATAATTCGGACAAACGGGCGTATGTGTTTCGGAGCGTTTCGCAAAAAAATGAGTCTTTTGTTTGAAGTTTAGCGTCGCCTTATTAGGAGGTTGCATAAATTAGCAGGTCGAGCGGAGAATGGCCTGTGGCCGCTGTGTTAGTTCAGCGACAGTAGACGGACGCGATGGTCGGCCGGAGAAGAATCGGCAGCAAGAAGAAGGAAGGACGGTCCGTTCGGAGATCGAAGCATCAACATCAACTCGGGAGTCGTCACAATAGCGATGTACCTCGGATATCTGCCCGTATAAATCTCGATTGTCCAAACGAGAAATGATTTTTTGTGAGAAAATATACGGTGCTGTTGTATTGTTGACCAGATAGATGCAATATTTATTGTGTCCAGCAGGCAAACAGAATGCAGCGAACGAGACGTCAAGTTGCGTTTCCACATTCTCCACATACATGGGTTTTAATGAGCGAGCCCTTTTACTTGGGACCCGTGCTCAATGCCCCGGGCTTTTGCGCAGCTTTTTGCATCAATGAATAGCTGCTCAAACTCCTTTTCTTTTACTTCCTTTCTTCATTCGTACAAGGAACCGTACAGTCGGTAGTCCTCCTATCTAAACATCATCTGCAACTTTGTCGGCGTGCTAACCATGTCACGTTATGCAGCCACTTATCAACAATAATATTACGTTATACTCCTTCTCCTTTCTTCTCAAGTACCTACTGGTGCGGTACGGTACAACATCCACACGAATTTGCTACAACCTTCATATACCTATGTGCCTGTCCATTTACTAAAATAAATTTACTTAGATTTAAGAATATTAATTTCGTTAAGCTGCATTTCCTTCTAGAAACCATGATTGCTGCATCTACTATTTTACACAATTTACATTCTTGTATTCATTTCGATATACTTAAGTAATTTTAATTAAAAAAAAATCCCCAACATGAGTATTATTACAGTAATAGTAATGATTTTAATTCGAAATCATGATATGTACATAAAAAGAAATGTCGTGTCTCACTAACAGCCTAGACTTTAGGACCTAGATACCTGAAGTTTCCTTTATGGTGTATATAAGGAATAACGAAGTATATATCGAAATTCCACCCCTAAGGGGATGAAAAAGCTTGCAATTTTGTTTTTGTCTTAATGGTCTTAAATATATTCTTAATGATGATATACATATGCATTATTATTATAAATGTTGGTCGCCTCTGTCGAGCATAATGTAAGTAATAAACTACAGGATAAGTCGAAGAAGTTTTTTAAGAGAATTCCAAATGAAAAGAAGGCGCATTCATGGAACATGAGGTAGGGACATACATATTATACGCTTAGTCGCTGCCGCCTTACAATATTAACAGCATGTGCCACCCTCCGTCACATTAACACATAAAAAAACTTAATTTAAGCTTCAAATCTGTCAACATATTTCTTTTTTCGCCAGCACAGAACTCGCATAGTATTTCCG